CCCCTTTTTTTGTCATAAGACATGTGCACTCATCAGAGAGAGAGAGAGAGGAAGAGGGAAAAAGAACACCTCCCCTCCATAGGGTGTGGTTACGCTGTAGTCCCTTCTCCATTTCTCCAACTTGCCAGGATTTTGGACATGCACACACATGTGCTTGGCATGGTTTTCAAGCCACTAGGGCAGAGATCGGTGCCGCAGTGGGCCATGTGGGAGCTGGCTCCCTTCACTGCTAGGTTATAGGGCTAGCCCTTTCCAGCCTCTTTAATTAGAACACTACTTCATGAGGGCAGAGTCCTTAGGACTTAGTCATTTCCTAAAAAGCTCTCACCTCTTAGTATCATCATCTTCAGGTTTAAATTCCAACATAGGAATTCCAGAGGGCTACGCACATTCATATCACAGCAATGAGGACGTTTTCTGTTTTAGACTCTAAAGACCTCTCTTATACCCAAATATTGCCACCATCACTTGCCAGGTATGTGAGAGTCTACCAATAGAAAACTATTCCTTTTTTCTTGAAATGGCTATTAGAAACTAGAACCAGGGTGGGGAAGGCCCCCTAGTGCTTAAAGCAGGAAAGGAAACTGCTTTCCAGGTGCGCATACCGAGTGGGAGGGTGAGGGTGAGTGTGAGTGTGTGACAGGGGGTGATAGTTTACTGAGGTCAGCTAACAAATAACCTCACACGTACCAGCTTCAAACAACAGACAGTTATTCTTCAACAGTTTGAGAGGCCCGAGATCAAGGAGTTGGCAGGGCCGTGTTCCCTCCACAGTCTTTAGAAGAGAATCCTCCTTTGCTTCTAGCAGCATCTGGTGGCAGCTGGCACTCCCTGGCTTGGGGTCTCCTCACTGCAGTCTCTGCCCTATGGTCACACGGTCCCCTCTCTAGTGTGTGCCACCTGGCAATGCTGGGAAATGATCCCACAGCCCATACTGCTACTCCTTGGTAGCTGTGCGGGTCCTTCTTCAGAGTTATCCTTCCTGGCCCCACTCACCAGGAGGGAAAGGAGGGGGTGTGGAGGGGCGGGCAGGATGCACTCTGTCTCCACCTCCACCTTTTGGAGGTAAAGATGGCCTTTGTGCCTCCACAGGCAGGTGCTGGGAGTGGTGCTCTGTGGGTGGGGAAAGGCCTCCCTTAACGGGCAATCCCCTTTACTGGGGTCAGGCTGAGGAGGAGGGAGGAGCACCTCTCACCTAGCACCTGGATTGTCCTTCTGAGACTGTGTCCAGAGACTCACTACCTGAGAGCAGGTTTCCCTGGGGAAGGTTTGTGGACAAGGGTTACTGGGAGGAGCTCAGGAGCAGCATTTGGGGGAAGTGAGAGGAGCAGGATTGGGCAAATCCTGCACATGAGTAGCAAAACCCAGCTCTCTCCCAAGGCAAAGTCTAATGAAAAAAAATTTCTTTTAGAGAGAGAGATTTTTGCTATAGGGTATGTGTACTCTTCAGAGAGACAGAAAGAAAGAAAGTGAGAAATCACCCTCTGGAGGCATGGTGATGTTGCAATCCCTTCTCCTCCATTCTCCTCTCAGGATTTTTGGCATGCACGAACATAGACCTGGCGTGAGTATCAAGACACTGGGTCCAGGACTTGAACCATGCTGGCCATGTGAGAGTCCAGCGATGTAACCATTATGCCATCTGCTGCTTCCAAAGTCTAACCAACTTTTAATTTATTCTCAAAGATGGGGTCTTTCGCATTCGCAGTTCGAAACCAACTTATGAAACACTCTGACTGTTGTGGCATAAATTTTATTCTATGGCCAAGGAATGGAGAAGCAGGAGATACGTTTGCAAATTAACTTTCTTACTAGTCTTGAGCTGGGGAGTTTCAGATATAGTGAGTGGGGATGATGAGGGGATGGGACAGGGTCATAGAGAGGAGGAATAGTCAGAGATTTGGAAAAGGCAGGGATTCTCACCTCTCCAAGTCCAAAACTCATTTCCTTTTCTTCCTTGTAAGGTCATTTATAGTCCTAACAATGGAGATTGTCAATAGTCATGGTGCTGGCAGGTGTGTCATCTAGAATGTTAATTCAGTACCTTGAGGGTATAAAGAGTTCAAAGGTTAGGTAGAAGCAGTTCCAAGCGCCATCTTGGCTCAGGCTGGGTTTTTTCAATGGAGGCCTTATCTTAACTACTGGCAGACATCCTGTTACAAAGAAAAACACCATTATGGCGAGCCGGAGTACGGTATGAGCATGGGCTATGTGGTGGGTGACCGAAGTAAAACACACATGCACACACACATATACCGCTCCACCTTAGCACGAGAAAGCTTCATTATGAGCCGGCTACTCATTCAATGAGTCTTCTCTATCATCATGGATCAATTTGATCTTCTGGCCCATCGAGTACATCAGTTCCAGGAAAGTGTTCTAGGTTCATGTTAAATCCAGTTGCCTAAATCGTAAACACAAATTTCCAACTTACACACAAGTACATTCCGGAAGACTTTCTCCTTTGGGTTCCAGTGTTTCAATGTGCTAGATCCTCTGGCCGGCCCAGGGAAGTCTGTATCACTGGAACCTAGCCTAGTCCTAGCGCTGTATGACTAGCCTAGCCTAGTACTGAGGTTTGGAGAAGGCCTGCATCTTACCCAAAGTTACAAAGCCAGTAAGAGACCTGACGCTAACCCACAGTCTCAGCACAGTGCCAAGCCCAGGGCAAGAGAAACTCAAGAAGCTATCTATCAAAGGCAAGTATCGGACATTGCTACTTTCACTTACTCCACTTAAGTAAAATGGGCCTAGGAACAGGACCTGGCAGGGCCATTGAGAGAGATAACCTCCCCAGGGGGCTCACCTGTATGAGCCATGATAATGATGGTGATGGGGATGGTGAGCTCACTGCTGGTGTTCTCCTTCTGCCCTGCGTCTCCACTGGAATGCCCATGTTTTGAGAGTGAGAGTGGGGAAAGGCAGGCCAATCATGCTCAGTACTTTAAGCATATACTCCAAAATCTATTTCCCCCCAATTATAACTTGTTCCTTTGGGCAGCAGAGCATGGCTTGAGGTTAGAAGGAAAGCAAGGTGCTTACTCATAGCCACACACCGAAGTGGGAAATGGCAGAAACCAACTTTTCTTCTAGAGTTTCTCATTAACCAGATGAATTTCAAATTGAGCACACTTGAGAGATTCAGGGAGGGAGCACGTGCAGTAGGAGAACAAGGATGACGAGGAGGAAGGGGTCTTAAAAGTTCTTTCTTTCTAAACTTGCAGTTGTGCTGGTGTGTCTGACCCTCTCCTCCCTTCAGGGCCAGTCAGGGGTGAGATTGGTGGGATGGACACTTGGGTTGGTGAGGGAGGTGGAGGGAGTCAAGTATGCACCTCTAACCCTGAAAACAGATCTTCTAGAGCTTGTTTCATTTTGTAAATACAGGTCGGTGCAGAGTAAGTGCTTGGCAAATACTCCCCACCCTCAGAGTACAAGAGAATAATCTCATTTAACCATACAAAGTGGTAGGTGAAGACAGGCTTCTCAGTTGGAGAACCTGATACCCAGGGCTGGTGAGAAAGGGGGGCTGGTGCTTTGTCTTGGGAGACAAAGGGCGGGGAAGGAGGGAGAATCCAAGAGAAGCCCGTTTGCCTCCTGGGGCACCTTCTTGAGGCTTACTACTCTCTTTGTCTCTGGGGTATGTTGAAGTCTTTACTAACCAGTGTCCTGGGAGCAGCTTAAAACATTGGGTACCAAGTTCTCAGTGTCAGACTCAGGCCCTTGATCTCTCAGGGCATATTACTTCTTCCAGCTCAGAACTCCTGGTTGCAGGTTGTTTACCAGAGAAGAGAGGCCTGCTTCATCCTCATCCAATCAGATTATGTTTATCCATGGCCAGGGATCCCTCATTGGCTGGGAAGCACAATGACTCATCTCTTGGGAGGTGATTAGTGTGGTCTTTTGAATTGTTCACAGCCTGGTGTTCCCAGTGGGCCTCCCTGTTCAGAAGTCAGGTCTGGAAAATAGGGCATCTTTGTGAGTGTTGCCTGGTGGCTCCAGGGCCATCTGGAGGGGAGGTGTTCTGTGAGGAAGGCTGCTTGGAGCTAAGAACTCTCCTTAACAGCCACCCGGATCTATCCCCCAGTTCTCTGGAGCTTTCTTCTTTCTAAGAGGGCAAGGCTCTCCTGACAGCCAGGAGTTATGTGTACCTAGGGGATGAATGTTTCTTTGTGAAGCGAACAAAACCCAAACCTGATGCCTGTCTGCTGGGACTGATAATGGCTTGATTGATTGCATGCAAACTCGCCATTTTTCCAGCTTTTTAACCTGAAGGCAGGACTGCTGGAGTCTGGAGCCCCAAA